TTGAGGGATTAAAACAAATAAGTAACTTTATCAGGAAGAATGCTGAGAGATGTAGAGGAGGGAAAAGGATCCTGGGTAGATTTAGAAAATTGCTTGAAGGAGATAAATTAAAACTTGGAAAGCGATTTGATTGGAAAGATAAGTCAAGCTGAGGAGAAGAGCTTTCAGAGCTCCTTGACTAAAAAGCAAAGATAAAACTTTACGAATTTATGAGGAGAGGTGGGGGGGCATGGAGATGATAGAGGCAAGAAAGGAGAGGATTTGGGGGGAAGTGATTTTGAAATTTTTTAATTGAGGCACCATGATTCATGAAGTTATTCATAGTTGAATTTTAGGCATACAATATTCTAGCACCAATCCCATCACCAGTGTCGCCTTTTCTCCACCAGTATCCCCAGGTCCCCTCCAATTCCCCAGCCCGCTTCCTGTACAGACACATTTTAAAGTTTGGATCTGCTTTCAATGTTGTTGCCTCTGTCATGTAGATAGATACGACCCCATTGGGGAATAGTCTTGTAGGTAATTCGGACATTTAGTGATTTAGTGTAAGGCTGTAAGAGATGTTAACCGAAGAAGCAGCAGAAAAAAAAGGAGGAAAAAGACCAACTACTCTCTGGTAAGGTCATGAGACACTAAGGCTTGGTGACACTGAAACCACTGAGGAAAAGTGAAAAGTTTGGTGGTAACTGCTTCAGGGAAATGGTAGTGGAAGAAGACCAGTCTCTAGTCTTGATGGTAAAATAACTAAATTTATTTTTATAAAGTTTGGAGGTGAAAGAAAAAACAAAATAATAGATTGAGAACAATTTAAAAAATGATTAATGTTTGTTACTGGAAAATGTGTCTAAATTCAGAGAATGAAGTCAGGAGAGAAGTAGAAAATCTGTTTTGATGATACATAACCAGTGTTCTGATGACATATGTCTCTGAGGAGATGGGGGCAGAATGCAGGAGTAGCAGTGAAGGATAGGAGCAAATAAGGGCTTGAGTTAGTGGGGAGATTGAGTGAAGATCACCTCATCCTGTAGATGACCTCAGGGTATTGATAATGAAGTGAGAGCTCCAGTAGGGTTCTAAATGCAAAATGGTAGGAAACAGTAGGAGCTCCCATTGTGCACCAGCTTCTACTTTGGGAATGTTGTCTACTTCCTGTCTGTAAAAAAGACATTTTTCTCTAGTAACAGAAACATGAAAGTTACAGTTGTTTGTTGGACCAGTTTTTAGTCCTAACTACCCAGTAAATTGTCTGTGCTGGGGGAGGATGATTTCTTTTATAAAGTCACTGACAGTCAGTTCTCACCTTCCGAGAATTGGTCTAGAATGGGGTTTGGGCATCAGGCAGCTCCCCAGATAATCCTGTTTTCCAGTTTTGAATACCATTAGTTCACAGAATTTTAACAATAATTACTGTGTGAATGTGGTATTCAGCTATGATGTTTGCAAATTAGAAGTCATGTACAGTGCATAGGTTATTCTATTAGTCAATGAAAAGAGAATCTTAGTGGGGTCAGTAACATGTAGAAAAGTTTATCAGAGAAGAATAGGTTGAAAAAGAGCGGAAAAAAAGGTCTGTTGACCCAACCACGCGCTCATCACATAGCTGTGCTTTCAGTACCCCAACAGTACCCTGAGTACCTATCACCTCTCAAATGCCATAGTACTTCTGGAAAAAAGGGTACAAAGTGAACTTTCCCTCCAGTTGCCCATGTCTCGTTTGAGAAGGAAGTAAAAAATTATAATTTTATGGAATAAATGTAGTGGAAATGGACAAGTACTGTGAGTATACAGTCAGGAGATTTCTTATCCAAATAAGGGAGTTCAGAGAACTGAGACCTCTTGGGAATAAACACAAGGGAGAGAAATAGGGGGTAAATGGTTGTAAATGTATGTATATACATTTATATTTATAACTTTAATCATCTTGGGCCTAAGGAGGCAAGGGAGGCTATTGAAATTTGGGGAGAGAAAGCCTAGTGGAAAAGCAGTTACTTTGTTTCTTTTTGGACCACACCCAGCTGTGCTCAGGGCATACTCACTGCTCTGTGTTCATGGATCACTTCTGGCACATTTAGGGGACCATATGGGGTGCTGGGGGTTGAATCCAGGTTGTCTGTGTGAAAGGCTAGTGCCTTACCTGCTGTACTATCTCTCTGGCTCCATTGATCACTTTATTTGATGAAAGTGATAGTCCATAATGATCACAGAGGAGAGAACTATGGCACTTTGTATCTCTACCCCATTCTTGGACTTTCTTTTAATCTCCTATAGGTGCTACTTTCAAAAGTGAGCCCAACATAAAGCACATAGTTTAGTGAAATGAGCAGTGCAGAAAAGGGAAGAGAGAGAATATAGATGGGCTGATGGAATCTCTAAACCACCCACTATTGTATGGTCATTCATTTATTGCTGGCTTCTATCTCTAATACACTTTGGGTAACTGTAAATGCAGTTAGAGGCTAGAGTTAGTCATAGACCAGATAAAAACTCTGCCCTTAAGCAAAAAGACAGAATAAACATGGTACAAACAGTAGTGAGATTTGAAAAATGTAATATGAAAAAGAGGTAGAGAATTCGGTGATGCCATCTTAGATTTGAAGCTAAATTTGATATAACCCACAAAAGTGGTAAAGTGGAGTAGGCATAAGGTTCACTAATGTTGCACTTGATATTTCAAAATAATTGACTAGTAATTTGATGCTGCTGCATCAAACTGTTGGCCATGCCATTTTGGCTGGAGTGATAGCACAGCTGTAGGGCATTTGCCTTACAAGCAGCCAACATGGCCGACCCGAGTTCGATTCCTCCGCCCCTCTTGGAGAGCCCGGCAAGCTACCGAGAGTATTTCGCCCGTACGGCAGAGCCTGGCAAGCTACCCGTGATGTATTCGATATGCCAAACACAGTAACAACAAGTCTCACGATTGAGACTTACTGGGCCCGCTCGAGCAAATCGATGAACAACTGGAGGACCGTGACCGTGACATCAAACTGTTGGCCATGCCATTTTTCTCAACCCACCATATATCTTGTACAGTGGATTAGTTCGAAACAGAGGGTTAGCAACAATTAATAGTTTAGTTGACAATTTAGACCATGATAAATATGCCTATGCTTAATAGTGATAATTTGTTCCATGTAGAAAAGTGGGTATTATAGATACATATACAAAAATGTTGGTACACTCAGGTAGTTTTCATGTTTTGTGCATCTACATTTTCTAGTAAAATGTAAGGACTTGTGAGAGGCAATAATTACTATCTGGACAGTACACCTTTTCCTCATCTTTCCTTAGCTAGTATAATAAGTTTTTGAGGAGTGTTTCTAGAATTTGCTTCCTACTAACTTAATTTGCTTCCTATTAACTTAATCTTTGTTAGATGTGGCCAGACACAAATGTTCACTGGCATCTCTAAGTGAAAAATATGGAAACCTCGAAGTAAGTTCTCTCACTTGAAAAACAGTTTTAATTTTCAGTTTGACAAGGACATGATTTTTGACCAGGTTGATTTATTTTGTAAAGTACATAAACAAGAATGAAGGTACTAAGTTGATGGTGATTTCCCACTGTTCCTACATTGGTTTGGAAGAACTTCAAATGAAGCTGTACTGCTATGGGTGTTCATGGAGAGTTTCTCTTCTACATGTGTTTGTATGGGGGGGTTGGAGGGCAGAGACAGCTATTGTGTAAACTTTGTATTGTGTAAACAGTGTGGTAAACATTGCTACTTATGGAGGATAAAGTATGGCCTTTTTTATTGTCTCTGAAAACAGAAAAGTTAGTCATGGAACTTACAGTGTGTTTGCATGCTTTATTTTCCCTGACAAATCTATTTATAGATTTTCAGGAACTCTCAGAATTTTGTCAAAACAGTCTGAGCCCTAAGTTAAAAAATGCTAATCAATTAGTTATAATTAGGCCACATCATCATTTTTGCATTCTTTGCCCCAGTCACCAGCCACACAGCCTTTTTCTCTCTTCCCAGTTGCATATCTGACATTTCTCTTTTGCTCTTACTTGTCTTCAAATTGATTAATTCAACACAGGAACACCAAAATGAAAATATGTCACACATTTCCAATATTCTTAGCTGTTTTTTCTATACATGTAATTCTGTATATTTTAATATTTGATGTAGTTACACAAAATATTCCTATGCATCACAACTCAATAACTGGAAGAACTATTTGAATTTAATTTTTAAAATTATCTTAATAACTAAATAATCTCATACAATTTCTTGTAGTTTTGCTAATGTGTATTTAATTTTATAACCCCTGAAGGCCCCTGGTGCCAGGTAATCCCATCAAGGACAAAGATCCAGAGACTATAAAACAAAGCTCCTGCAAGCGCATGCCCACATTCGTGGCTGCACAATCTCTTATAGTCTAGCCCACTGATGTACCTAAAACAGCACACATGTGTTTGGTTTTTATCATACTTGCTTGTGTTCTCTTATATACATTCTCCAACCCTCTCAGAGAGCCTGGCAAGCTACTGAGAGTATCCCTCCCGCACAGCAGAGTCAGGCAAGCTCCCCGTGGCATATTTTATATACCAAAAACAGTAACAATAACGGGTCTCATTCTCCTGACCCTGAAAGAGCCTCCAGTATGACAGTGTTGGGAAGAATGAGTCAGAAGAGGGTACTAAAATCTCAGGGCTAGGACGAATGGAGATGTTACTGGTGCCTGTTCTAGCAAATCAATGAACAACGGGATGACATTTAGTGATACAGTGAATCTCTGAAGGAAAAGTACTATCACTTTATTTTGTTGTTTATTTACTCAGTAGTTGAGTCTTTGACTTTATTTTTCGTTGCTAATTTCCAAAGTGTTTGAGGAATGTCGGGTGTTTTCTGGTCTCCTGTTAAAATCAAATGTGAACCTGTGTCATGGGAATGCTCCTACGTGCAGGACATAAGCCTACAAAAATGGCTATGGGCTGATGGTGAATTAAAGTAGCAGTTTCTTCACATCTCACCTTCATCTCCTCTCTTCCAGCCACCCAGTGTAAACACAGTGCTGTGTACGACACCTGTGGCCCAGGATGTATCAAGACCTGTGACAACTGGAATGAGATTGGACCATGCAATAAGCCTTGTGTGGCAGGCTGCCACTGTCCTGCAAACCTAGTTCTTCACAAGGGACGTTGCATCAAGCCAGTTCTCTGTCCTCAGCGGTGACCTTTGTTCTACTCTTTAAGACTTTGAAACGGGGTGTCCTTGACACTGAAGTGGAAGAGCCAATGAAGGGATGAAGTCTGTGTGTGCTGATTCTCCAGATACACACAGAGTATATATGTGTACATATATAGATATATAGATATATTCAGAAACATTTCATCATTTATATAAACTATAGGTGGATTGTTATATGTATATTTTTTGCTATGAGACATGTACTGTTTCTAGGATCCTAACCTGTAAGCCATTGGAAATGTATAAATAAACTGGTGTTTTTAATTTAATAAGGCAGCATGCAGACATTTTGGAGATCTCTCACATCACATGTATTTGTCAATTTTAAGGGAATTCTTAAGAAACCTAAATTGCCTGCCTGCATTTATTTTTGGTTTGATTCAGGATTTGCAGTTGAGTGGGAAATGTGTTTCTCTGGAGAAGGGAACATTTATTTATGGGTTTTTCATGCTTCCAAAGAAAGGAATGAATGCCTAGAGAGATGGCTGGTTATTGGCTAGAGGCCACAATGATGCATGTAAAGCAAGGGATAGACTGTTAGACTTTATTGGGTCTAATATTATTTCCAAAACTGATTGGCTGCTTTTGAAGAAATGTATGTTTTCACTAGAGCTTAACAAAACAACCAAATGATTTCTTGCTCCCTTTGCATATTCCATGACTCTCCTGATTACATGTGTGTTGTCTGATGGGGTATCCATTTCACTGTGACTTACGACATTAAGATATATATGTCTGGTCGACACATTATTTTTATTGATTATGAGCAGATATTTGGAGAAGATTTTGCACAAGACAAATACCCATTTTTCTTAACCTCAACAATTTAGAAGAAGCAAATCTAAAGAACCATCCTTTTGGTAACTTCCATATATAAAATGAAAGCCTTGCATTATTTCTAGAGGATTCCTAGTCCAGTGCTATTTGGTAATGGTTAATATGCCATCAGTAACCAAGAGAAGACTTTTACTGCCCATTTAGTCAGTCCAAATAAAGAATAGTCTGTATACTCTAACTTTATCATCGGTTACTATCAGTCATCATGTAATTTTTCTGACTTTCTTTTTTCTAATTGAATAAGTTAAATTGTCAACAAAACAAGCCCCACTGGTGTCTAAAAATGTTCTGCATTGTAGTAAATAAAGGGAAAAATTTAAATGATGCATTTTCTATTTCAAAGTGTGCTGTTATACTTTGTAAATGAGCTATATCAACTTCAGGTTTGTCATTTTAAGTTTTAATGATATATATGTGTATATATGGGCTGGAGCAATAGCACAGCAGGTAGGATGTTCGCCTTGCATGCAGCCAAGATGGCCGATCCGAGTTCGATTCCTCTGCCCCTCTCAGAGAGCCTGGCAAGCTACCGAGAGTATCTAGCCTGCACAGCAAAGTCTGGCAAGTTCCCCGTGAAGTATTTGATATGCCAAACACAGTAACAAGTCTGACAATGTTACTGGGCCCACTCGAGCAAATTGATGAACAACGGGAGGACCGTGACCGTGACTGTGATGTGTGTGTGTGTGTGTATATATATATATATATATAGTCCGAGAAATATATATATATAATATAATGATATATATATATATATATATATATATATATATATATATATATCGGACCACAACCAGCAATGCTTAGAGCTTACTCCTGGCTCTACACTAAGGAATCACCCTTGTAAGTGCTTGTGGAATCAAAAGTGGTGTAGGAAATAAACTAGGGATGGTCACATGCAAGACAAGAACCCTACCCAATATACTATTTCTCCAGGCCTTTGAGATATAAGATATATTTGATATGCCTATCAGTACTTATTTTTATAAATAATTAATATAAATGCCTGAAAACTCCCCAGATTTTGACAGCATTTTGTCATAGCTTATTAAGATATTTATATATTTAAAAACATGTATAATAACCAGGTAAAGGATTAATTTAGAAGTTTCATATGATTATCTCTAGTTCTTATAAACAAAACAAAGATTGGAGTAGTGGTTGCGGAACCAGGGAACGTGGCTGATACTGCTTTGCTTGGTTTGTAAACATCCTCAATAATCAAGTCATTGCTATACTGCTGTACTCAGAAAGAAAGTTTGATGTACGAAACCTGGGTACCAGTTGTAGTTTTTAACTTTGTTTATATAGTTTGGGGGTCATATTCTTGTTTCTCTGGACAGAACGAATCAGTGTAGTATAGGTACATCATCTAGAATCAGAAGACCAAGATAATCACTACTGGTGATATTACTTACACAGCAATCTGAGGCTCTGCTGTTACCAGGAAGCTACAAATTTGGATATCCTTTATTTCCCTTACTGTTATGACAGGAGAAAGAAGAAAACCTGTCGATTCCTCCTGGTTAGTTCCTTTTGTGTATCTTTTTATTACATTTAAATTATTTTCCAGTTCACACTAGGTTTTCCCTTGGTGGACTCTATGGATGCAGAAGGTGTATCATTAAAAGTTGAGGAGGCTTATTTACTGCTAAGATTCTTCCATACTAGGCCGGAGTGCAGAATGTAGTACACTGGTAGGGCATTTGCCTTGCATGCATCTGTCCCAGATTTGATTCCCAGGATAATGTCCCTGGAGCATTATCAGAAGTAACCTCTGGGCATCACCAGGTGTGCCCCAAAACTCAAAAACAGAAAAAAATATTCTTCCAATTAAGGACCAAATAACTGTCCCTGAGAGGCTAAGTCTTATAAGGAGTTTCCTATATTGAACATTTTAAAGTTATAACTAGACAGAAGAATGGTAAAGTCTCTTTTTCATAAGCTAATTTAATCAGTTTGATAGCTTGATAACACATTCATTCAATGTCTCTTATAAAGAATTTATTTTAGCCTTTGTACCTATTTCATTCCTAATCTGAGAATAAAGAAAAAGGAGAGAGCAGAGGATTATTAGGTTAACTAATCTAGATATCTGTTTTATGGGTAGTGAGAATTTGAGTCAAATGAGCCCATGCTTATTCTGGTTTGAATCATGGACTATAAGTTAGTGCTGATTTGTCTAATTTTTGATTATTCTGGATGTCTACCAAGTGTTAGGATCACAGTTATTCCACCTTATTGACTTGGATACTCCTGTAGAATTAGATGATTGGGAATGAAAAGTTTCTACTCCTCTCCTTTAGGGGAGGCTTTGAGGCAGGGCTCATATACTCCTGACTCTATGTCATGAATTACTCCTAGAGGACCAGGGATCAAAAACAGCGGCTGCATGCTAGGCAATAATCCTACCCAATTGTTATCTCTCCAGCCCCTCAACCACACTATGCATAAAAACCCAGGCTAGCCGTTAGTTTGGTTCCATTATATAGTTAGATAAATAGATATAAATGAAATGTGAAGCTTGAGTTAATATTGTCCTTTTATAAGTATTGGATCTCTACTTTGATGATGTCATTAGCTAAATACACTTCATAAAAGCCGACAAAGAGTGTTTCTTAGTCTCAGTAAAAATAAGTTATTTTCCCTCCCCCTGAATGCTTGAAAGTCTTAAGCTAAATATTTTGAAATGAGAAGAGAGATGAACATTTACAACAGCAATTTTTGTTAAAACGGAATTAATAGTATTTTTTTAAATTTTTTAAAAAAATTTTATTAGTGAAACACCATGAGGTACAGTTGTAGACTTACAAATTTTTGTGCTTGGGTTTCAGGAATCAACAGTTTTTAAGCACCATCCTCCTCCCTCCTCCCCATATCCCTAGAGTGTTTCCTGAACATCTGGCCATCTGCCTATCAAAGGGTACCTACCTATGAGCACCGTGGACTAGTGGCCGAATAGCAACTTTCCTTATATGTGGAGAAACCAATTTGACTGGAAAACTCTGTCTTATGAGATATCTTAGACATAAAAAGGGGCTCAGAGAATCATGATATAAACATTCATGAGCTCAATATTCTGAATTGGAAAACATAACCTGGTAGCTTATTTTTCTCAGACAAATAAAATCAAACCACATCTCATGGCTGCAGCAGCTCTGGCAGTTTTTCCCTTGTTGAGTTTCTGTTCACTTTGCTGCTCTTTGTCATTCACATTCATCTGGATCTGACAAGAATCAAGGATTCAGCTGGGAAGCTCTTGGTGTGGGAGGAGGAGATTGCCTTAGGGGATAGGTGCCAAGATATTTTAATTAGCTATCTCATCCAAACATAACCCTCAGGAGCAAGCAAAAATAGTCTCCAATTCTAAATCCTAAAGTACACATCTTTTTGGAACCCAGGACTTTAATTCTGAAAAAAATGACAATGTTCAGGTGACCAAGAATGAATAAACAAGAAGAATAAACAAGTTCTGATTATACCGACCCTAGTCCTGGAGGGAGTTTTCTGACTTCAGAACCCCATTACTATATATGGCTTAATTAAATCAATCGGATGATAAAACACTCACTTGAGATCCATATTTGCTGTCCTTTCCTTTCAGATTAATTTTATGAAAGCCAGCTTTGAAAATATTAATGTGGAATGTGTAGGAAAAGGTTGGGAAATTTACATGTAGAGATGCTCTTGAAAGAGTTTTCACCAAGTGAGATAGACCAAGAAGATGGGAGGGGAGTCTCCTGCAGAGGATCAGCAGAGCCTCAAAACAGTCAAAATTCACTGTTCTGGTGGGTACCCCCAAAGTGGCAGGAAGAAAAAGGAAAACAGGGTACAGAAAGAACCTCATGGTTATGCTAAGATGCCTGGATTGTATACACTGGGGTGATTCTTCCCAGAGCGTTTTTTGTGTTGTTGTTGTTGTTGTTTTGTCATCATGCATTCAGAAACTGATACTTGTCTGAGTATTGTGACTTGTGTGTGACTGAGGGTTGCCAGCCTGTCACTGGCAACAGAAGTAGGGGAACAGATTGATAGACATTTTGCTACCATAAATAAAATGTTTTCTTTACCTGCGTTTGATTTAGAAGCAGACACTGTGAATATCAGGGTTAGACACAGCTCTTCCTAAAACAGTTTTTGTCTGGGAAGAATCACTGGTGGTAAGCTGGCACAGCACAGAGCTGACTGTGGCATCTCAGCAAGGCACATTTGGGGTTTTGTGTTTGGAGAAGACTCAAGGAAAATGTGCCAGAGAAAAGAAGTCCTTAGGTGATGACCCTTACTTGGTTAATTTGATAGACCTCACCCACCTCAGTTAAGAGGCGTGTGTGTGTGTGTGTGTGTGTGTGTGTGTGTGCATGTGGGCATTTATGAGTATAGATACGTGTGCATTTGTGAGGCTGTATCTGCATAAATGGGTGTATATGTGTTCATGTGAATATGTGCATGTAAATGTTGGGGGCAAGGTAGGAATGATATAACAGGCATTTAAGGAACAAGTTGCCATGGATACAGAAAAAGCAAGCAGACTGTTCAGGGCTGTAAAGACAAGTTGACAGCTTAGGGTGTAGGGAACAATGGATTTTTGATACTTCTAGGATGTGGGGAGTTCACAGGACTTTGGAAAACCACAGTGCTGCTCACACATCCTGAAAGGTCTTTGGCAGCCTCCCTTGGTTTCTAATAAGGTGAGCCAGGAGAGGGTTTGAGGAGATGTTTGAATATATTGTACACATTTCTGTTTTCATGCTTCCTTTCGTGTCTTCTGATAATCTGTAGAGAACAGAGGTTTCTAATGAGACTATTCCATGTAGCCACCCAGGTTGCCTAATAACCTCTCAGACCCTTCAGGCCCTGATTTTGGAACAGGACGTAGCTGGAACCCTTGATTGTGAACAGGAAGTACCTGGAGGCCAAAGCTTAAGTAGCAGCAGGTCTGGCCACAGCTTTAGGCACAATGACCAGATATTTAGGTCACTTCAGATGTTCTACATGAGCCAATGCTGTCATAGTTAAACCGTTCAAGATTATGGCTCAAAACTGGACATAAACTACTTTCTTCAACTGGAACCTGGCCCACTAATTAATTCCTCCAGGAGTTCCTCTAGCACTGAAATTTGGCACTTTAAAAAATATTTGTGATGGTGTAAAAGTTTCACTGTGGCTTGGAAATGT